AGGGGAGAGAGGATTATATTTTTATCCTTAATTATATAAAACGAACTGGCCTTTTTTATGTTCCCGTTTTATGACAATACTATTTTTTAACATATTTAAAAGGTTAGGTTGTAGCAAATACTATTATTTATAGTTGAATTTTATTCGTCATTACAGACATTTTGAGAAAATACAAACTACACATGGGCGAAGTCAGGTAATTCAGCTAGTATAATATAAAGTGGGTATAGAAAATAAAATAAACATGTTAAAAAAAAATTCAAATCATTATTATATTTAATTTTAATTTGTTATTTTTCTTATTTAATAACCTAATACTGAAGATTTTGTATGTATTATAAGCATTTTTAAAAAATATCAAAAGCCTATATCTTAATTTGCAATGGTGAATTATAGTATCTATATAGTATATACGATATAATTTTTTCAGTTTTTTCTTATATTTCCCTTACTGACGTGCCTGGCGTCACAAAAAAGTTTTTTTTCCGGCTATATCTATATGGTATTTATAATATACACGGTTTAATAATTATATGATGACAAGTTTTCCTGGAACCTAGAATTATTGTATCATGCATGTTTTTTATGAATAAAAAATATGCTTAAACTAGATAAACTAGATATAAGTGACCGTGGTATGATGACGAAATATCGAAAAAATAAATTAAAATAATGTGTACAATATTTAAATAGTATATAACGTCAGTCATAATTTTTAAAAACCTTGAATATTCACAAATACATTTGATATTAAATAAAGATACTCGTTTAATGTTTACTGACTTGACAACCTTAACAGTTAACAGTAATCTATGATTTTATTATAATGTATATTTTATCAATTTAAAATAAATATAAGATATCGATAACTAATAATATTAAAATAGGTATCATATCAAAAATTAAGCCTATAATTTAGATTTTGAATGTAATTGAAATTTTGAATAATAAATTCGTATATTTTGTTTTCAAATATGATTTCATGTTTAAACCAACTCAAATTTACAGGTTCAGTATATACTACGGGCTAAAATCGAAATAGGACAAATCTTAAAAATTTCTTGGCAAAATGTGAATTGTCTACGGAATTTTGAACCTTTACCAGGGAAAATAAAGTTGTAATCTGCATCATTTGTGAAAAACCGTAGCAATTATACATTTGAGTATTTTACAATAAGTGGTGGATACCATGTGTTTATAAATATTATTGTGTATCGTGTATAATGTTAATTTTAAAGATAAAAAAAAAAAGTCATAAAGAAATTCATAAACTAATTATTATTATTATTGATCATATAAAATAGTACATAATAATAAAAAAATATTATTAAAGTACTTATACTTATTTAATTTAATTATTTACATCAAAATAATATTATGATACATTATTTTACAATACTGTGAAATATTCAAATGTGTAGTTGCTATAGTTTTTTCAATATTATGTTTATCACAACTATGCTCTATACAGTGAGATAGCGTTATATGGCCCAACGAAAATCTTTTCTTCTGCATCTTCATATGGTACTCTACTATCGAGAGCGATTCTATTATAGCAGTGTGTCACACGGGAATACATAAAATTGGCATGTTCTCTCGTTGGATAGAGTATATGTTTGCCAGTACAAAATTTGAAGTAGGTATAATGTTTTGTCATAGTATCAAAGGAAGTTCACGTCTTACCTTGATATATCTGAGGACTTAGTTTATTTATTCGATTTAGTCTTTTTCCCGTAACATATAATTATGTAAAAATATATATCATAATAAAATATATCACATTTGCGCAAATGGCGCATACAATTCATTAATTATTGGTCTAATGACATTCAATACATCTGGATTATTTTTTTTGGCATTTAATTTGCAAAATAAAAAATTATCTATAATTAAACCAAACTTTTCTACATTTTAAGTATGAAAAGTTTTAATTCTAACAATCATGCCATTAGTTATAATATTATTTATATTCATTACAGGCATAAGGTATACGCAATAATTTTTTCATTCAGTGCGTATGAAAAATAATAATAGTTTTAATAAAGGCTTTTAAATCTTAGTACTTATAGCCTAAAAAGTATTAATATACTGCTAAATGTTTAGATTAATGTTTAAAACTTTTTAATTAACCATCTTTATGTAGAACTATAGATTTAAATTTAAGTTTTATTTATGGTCTATAATTCATAATGTTTAAAATGAATAGTGACTATTAAAAGCATAATATATTGATATGTCACTATGTCAATATAATATATAGTACCTTGATGTCTTATCACTAAATAACAAAAAGTCTACCTTGATGTCTTATCACTAAATAACAAAAAGTCAAATTAATTGTAAAAACAAAAGGATTTTGTATAATAATCATGATAATATTTAATTTGTGAATAATTATCATTTGAATATTATTTGTTATAAGAGTACACTGCTTATTTAATATTTCGTATTTTAATTTTAATTTACTAATTCAATAATAATAATATTTTGATAGTTTTATTCTTTGGAGTATGATTTTAAATTTTTGAAAAAATATATGACATAATATATAGATAGGTAGGTAAGATTTTGATTTTATTTCTAATAATTTATATTTATTATTTTAAATAAGAGTTTCCTCTATAATACATTACAATTAAAACAGTTCAACAAATGCAGATATTATAATGATAATTATAATGTAATTACAAATAAATAGGCATATAAAATATAATAATTGGTTGATAATTAAAATCAAGTAAAATATAAATATAATAATTAAAATCATTACTTTGAGTTTAATGGGACAAGATATGGAGATAATTTTTATGGAATGCTATTATTGTGTTTTTGAGACAGTGAATAGGTTTAACTGGTTATGTGAATATAAGATTTTGATATTGATATAGATGGAATTACGGTCTGGACCAACTGGGTCTTGATCTATTTGGTTAAATTTAAGATGTTGATAATATAATTGACTAGCTTATTTAATTCTTTTGTTATATTTAACTAATTGCTTATTATATTGAATGCATGTTGAATTTTTAAAGATTTAATTGCAGTAACTAATTGGAAAAAGATTACTCATTATTTAATCATTAACCAAGATTTTTTTGCCTCAATTTCAAATTTTCATTTTGGATAACATAGTCGGTAAATAAATTAGTAGGTGATACACATAAGCGGAACTACAGTCTGAGCCAACTGAGCCTTGGCTTAGCCGAATCGTGCCCCGTATTAATGTAAATACAGTATACATAATAATAATAATGGACATAATAATACTACATTATACAAAAAAATATTTTTGAAAGTAAGTAAAAATGCTTAAAAAATATTATGATTTATTGCTTAGTAAAACAATTATCAATTATAATTTAGCTGAAATTATTATTAGAAGTGTCTGAAATTCTGAATATAGTAATTTAATTTAAGAAAATTTAATATAAAGTGAAATACACAAAATATAACATTATAGTATTTTATTTATATTTTGTTATTGCTTTCGCTTAATTTAAATGGTCTCGATTATAAATAGTGTAGATACCATAGGTATATGCATGTTAAAACTAAGCTATACCACTATGACAGAAATGTCTTGGCAATTTGATACTTCCATTTATTGAGATTTACCATGGCAAAAAATATCAACATTCTTTGAAATCTTTGTTTTAAAAAAAATATTTTATTGATTTATATTTACTAAATATTAATATGTACAAACAAGTATTAACTATATGACTTTTGAAAAATATATTTTGTTGTTTGAATTTTAATAATCTTATATATTTCTATATTTTATATTATTCTAAAGATTGTTATAAAAATATAACAGCACTTAAGTAATATGTTGAATTAAAGAAGTTTGAAATTTTAACTTAAAACAAAGAAAATGATCTATTAAATTGAAAATACTTATACGTAAATATCATTACTTAATTTTTTAAATAAAAATCATAGTTGCTTAACGTTAACACAAATATACAAAAGTATAATTATAATTATATTTATATATAAATAATTTGTGTTTAATCAATAAACTAAACCTTTGTTAATTTATAATTTCTTTGAAGTCACTTTGATGTTTTTGGGGCATACGTAAACTGCACCCAAATAATCTTTTTTTTGTAAACTGCGCCCGAAATTTTATCTATGTTAAAAAGGTATAGTGTAAACTGCACCCGACTTATAAACTTATCAAAGTCTCTATGTTTGACGATTGTGTACTTTTTCAAGTATATCACAGACATTTTATTTTTGTCAAGAAATACCAACACGTTATCGAATATCTATACGAAGAAGCTCAAGTATGGGCTCAAGCATCAGCAGAGCCAACTTTAACCACAAATGCACGCGAGTCTTTTCATTCTTACTTTAATTCCAGCTTTTATACAACTCATCCAAATATTTTCATTTTTATAGAAAAATTAAAAGAAATTCAATTAGAAGTATATATTAAATTAAATAGTATAAATAAACCGTTTAAATTCCAAAACTCTAAAACCAAAAAAAAAAACGTGAAAAGTTAGAAAAATTAATCAATAAATATAATAGTAATCAAATTTCAATTGATGAATATGTATCTGTCGCATCCATATCGCGTTATTGTACGTTTCGCGAAATGGACAACGTTTGCATCCATTTCGCGAAATGAAACCGCGATTTCTCCACTTCACGTAATTACACAATATGGATAATATTTCGTGAAATGGATACCTAAACTATCGTCAACGGAACTTGTTCCGTCATTTGGATGTCCATATAGCAAAACTTAAAAAAATTTTATTTTTATATATTATATATTTTATTCCTAAAAGTTTAATTAAATTATTAATTTTAAGTAAATGTTTTACAAATATTATAATATTATAATACTTTAATACAAACTATTATTTATTTAGACATGTTTGTGAGTTATGACAACAAGAATTACATTTTAAATTACCTTTAAAACAAGCACATTTTTTAGTTTAACATTTGCCTTTACAATAACAACTAAAAAAAACCTTGACCTCCAGTTAAAGAAGAGACAATTTCTCTTAATGACATTTCTTTTGTCTTATTCACTTGCTCGATGTCAATGAAGTTTGATGTGGCTGATTGTATATTTCCAGAACCATACCAACCTTTTAGTACACCATGTTCAGTTCCTATACGGTTAAGGTCATTTTTCTGATCGGTTTTCTTACGTTTGGCGCACCAAAAATACTGCAGAGCGATAACGGTAGGGAATTTGTTAATTCTATTATAATTGAATTGAAAGAACTTTGGCCAGATTGCGTTATTGTTCACGGTCGACCTAGACACCCGCAGAGCCAGGGAAGTATTGAGAGAAGCAACCAGGACATAGAAAATATGTTAAGAGCTTGGATGAAAGGTAATAAAACAAAGAAATGGTCAATTGGACTACAATTTGTTCAATTTCAAAAAAATAGTTCTCATCATCGTGTGATTGGTAGGTCATCGTATAAGGCTTTATTTGGGAATGATCCAAAAGTTGGATTAGCAACATCCAGTTTACTAATAGAAATTTTACAAATATTGGTAACGGAAGAAGACTTAGAAGAAATCTACAAAGAAGATATTCAAAGTGAGATCGAAAAAATAACTGTTCAATGTAATGTTTGCGGAACAGAATGTCATATGGAAACGGACTCCGCCGAAGCAATTTTATGTAATTTATGTGAGAAGAATATGAAAATTAAGGAAGCACGTCATTTAGGAGCTATAGAAATAGAAAAGCAAGCCGAAAAAATGTTACAAGTAAAATCATTTTGGTTTTTATATTTACTTAAAATAATTCATTATTTCATTATGCTATAGGATAATAAGATCAAAATACCAACATTTAAAGTTGGAGACTGTATTGTAATCCCGGTTCCGAAAGTAGATAGAGGTCCTACAAACCCAGCTAACATTATTGCCGTAGTGATCGATCAGAAAAATGACCTTAACCGTATAGGAACTGAACATGGTGTACTAAAAGGTTGGTATGGTTCTGGAAATATACAATCAGCCACATCAAACTTCATTGACATCGAGCAAGTGAATAAGACAAAAGAAATGTCATTAAGAGAAATTGTCTCTTCTTTAACTGGAGGTCAAGGTTTTTTTAGTTGTTATTGTAAAGGCAAATGTTAAACTAAAAAATGTGCTTGTTTTAAAGGTAATTTAAAATGTAATTCTTGTTGTCATAACTCACAAACATGTCTAAATAAATAATAGTTTGTATTAAAGTATTATAATATTATAATATTTGTAAAACATTTACTTAAAATTAATAATTTAATTAAACTTTTAGGAATAAAATATATAATATATAAAAATAAAATTTTTTTTAAGTTTTGCAATATGGACATCCAAATGACGGAACAAGTTCCGTTGACGATAGTTTAGGTATCCATTTCACGAAATATTATCCATATTGTGTAATTACGTGAAGTGGAGAAATCGCGGTTTCATTTCGCGAAATGGATGCAAACGTTGTCCATTTCGCGAAACGTACAATAACGCGATATGGATGCGACAGATACATATCCACCATATTATGTTATTGTCTGTAATATTTATAATTATTTTAATTTCTAAAACTATATATTTTTTAATTCCTAATATGTTATAACAATATGAAGTTATTATTTGTAATATTTAAATTTATTTTAATTTTTTAAATTATATTTAATTTTTAATTATTTATATTATATATCTGTAACGAATTAAGTATTTCACCTGTAATTTATTCGGGCGCAGTTTACATGTATGATTTTGTGTTTACCTGTATCTTAGGCGCAGTTTACAATCGCCGTGTTTTTGAGTTAGGAACCCAAATATATTTTGGATAATAATACATATCATATTATTTGGCCTTATATTTTATTATTACTTAATTTTTTTTTATGTTGTTTTATATTTTCAAGCAGAAGAAATATTTAGAAAATGTTATGTAAGTTATAAATATTATATATTATACATAAGCCTAACTTTAGTCCAGCCCGGATCTGATTACCTAATTAAAGGTACCGATCTGGTCCGATTCGGAGCTATTAAATTGGCTTCCAAACTCAGGTAATCGATATTTTTACATATTAAGTTGGCTCCCTCAACATTTATTTTATAAATCCAGTAAACTACGATGGATCGTGACGAACTGCGAGAATTGAGTTTAATGATATTAGTGAAATTTCTTAAAAATAGGTAGTTAAATTGCATAAATACGACGATGGTTGTGGCCGTTTAATGCGTTATCGGATTAACGATTAGATAATTTCAAGCAGTTATCCGGGGCTCTGTGTCGTTAAAAATATTTAAGTCGTGTATTTTTTCAAAATGTTATATTATGAGAGTCGTTTGTTGAAAATAATTATACTGGAAGCAATTTCAACGTTCGGTTCAGAAAGGTCTTCACTGTTTAGTGTCTACCTATAATTGCTAATGCAATAAATATTATTTTAATAATAATTATTTATGGCAGCGATTCTCAAACTGTGGTACGCGTACCACTAGTGGTACGCGAAAGACTACATGATGGTATGCGGAACTGTGGAAGGCCGCATGGTGGTAGGATTTTTAATCATCAGTGGTACGCGACTGATTGATAATATACTTAAGTGGTACGCGAAATAAAAAGTTTGAGAACCGCTGATCTATGGTGTAAAACATAAAAAATTCTACTGGCAGCGGTGGGATTCGAACCCACGCCTCCGAGGAGACTGGTGCCTTAAACCAGCGCCTTAGACCGCTCGGCCACGCTACCTCGGTGAGAAATCCCTGTGAAACAGAGGTACTTTCGATATGGGTAAAATATTCCTAATTCGTCTTAGAACTGATCATAATATAAAGCTCTCATGATTTTTTTTTAAAGAAAATCTTCCAATATATACCACATGTGGAATACTTAAATACGTATCACTATCTAACATATTTTAATTGAATACTAAACTTCTCATAAAATGTAACATTTAAATCAATTTATATTTTCTAGACTCGACCGCTTAAATATTAAAGAACCATCCGAAATAAATTTCTATCACTATTAAACTTATATTCACCATCTAACAGGAAAACCAAATTAAAAATTTTTTCCTTATTTTATTTTTATATAAATATGTAAAAAAAGATGTTTGCCCAATAACCTATGACACTGAGGGTTTAAAATAATAATAAAAAATCAAGTATAGGCATCATTCATATATATTAAATTCTTATACAGTTATTGATCAAATTAAGTTTACATGCATGTAGATCATTACATAATAGAGTTAACTATAGGTTTTAGTGAAATTAAAATACCCATATATCAAGGAAAATTATAGATTAATTGTAAAAGTACAAAAATTAGAAGAATAATTTACAGAAGTACAATATTACAATTAGATTATTATACTATTTTATTATTGTAACTTTTTAACTATATCAAAATATGATTAAAATAAATTTAGTGAGTTATTGCACTACATGAACCAGATCAAAATTATATAAGTAGATTTATTTGATGATAAATTAATTATGCTGGATTTTCAAAAAAAAATTAAAAAGATTAATTTTAAAATTTTAATTTATATAGAATGCATATGAAATGTTTAGATTATTTATTTTAGGAATTTGAAAAAAATACCAGTGATGCACTAATTAAATAATATAGATAACTAATCTTAAACAAAATAAAATGTTATAGGAATATAGAATCCTACAGATAAATATTTCAAATAAAAATTAGGAATTCATTTTCACGGGTAAAAAAAAGTTTAACTATGATTTTTGTAATTAATAGCTTACACAATTGAGTGCATTAGTCAATTACCATGGTCACCTTGCTTTTATGGCTGTATATTAAATGCATTTACACATGTACTTAAATAACACGAACTCCAACACATATAATACATATGAATTAAAAATACTCGTGAAACTTTAATGTCATGAACACGTATAAAAAATTATACGAATTCCACGTATAATAGGGACCTCTACATTATCAGTAATATAAATATAACAAGAAAAATAAAAGAACAAATGTCATAGAAAATATTTAAATTTAAAAAAGAAAAAATACAAAGTGAAATAAAAACAAGATATTGATTATATCTACTTCAAGTTATTTGTTATGTATTTCTTAAGACATTTGCTATAAAAAAATTAAAGATTTAAAAAAAAATTAATATTCTTATTAGTTACCTGCAAACATTTTGAATTTAATTTGTAATTGAAAGTTTTGTGTAAAATATATTAAAATATTGTCAGTTTATTGGCATTATTTTAAAATTTATATTTTTCAATAATTCAAGACAATCAGTTTAGGACAGCGGTTTCCAACGCATGAGCTGTGGCCTATACTTATGGGCCTCGAGTAGCGTGGTACTGGCCCGCGAACCATATAATATTAACATTATTAACATCTATATTTAAAATAATGTTATTAAATATTTTTTTACACAATTTACGTTATCAAAGTTTGAATGTAGTTTTATCTCGTGAAGTTCGTTTATCATTTATAGGTACCTGTTATTTGTCATTTTTATCATGCACGGTGTGAAGCGTGTGTCGGCTGCGCTAAAATTACACTAAGAAACTTGATGGGCTTTTCGAAAACCTATCTGTATGAACGAGTTTTATCTCTTAATTTTTTTTTTTTTTAAACATGGTAATAAACTGAATGTTGAGAGTTATTTAAGACTAAGACTATCTAGTTTTAATCCAGATTTTAAACATCCTCGTGGAGGACAAGCAATGTCAAAAATCACATTAAACTGTTTAACTTGTGATAAAGTTAAATATTTATTTTTTTTTTTTGAACAAATAATTGTTTTTAATAATTCTTCTATTTCTAATAAATATCACATATATATATATAAATATATATATACATACGTTTATAGATGTACTATTAGTGGGCCTAAAAGATTTTTTTATAAAATTGATGGTCCGCAATCGGCACAACTAAAAAGGTTGGGACTTGGGAACCGTTGGTTTAGGACAATTAATAATTTATTTAAAAATTTCAATTTAATTTGCGTGAATCGCTATTTTAATGACTGTATAATGTATATAGAAAAATTAATTGTAACGTCTTAATCAGAATAACGTACGCTATAAACAAAATATTGATCGTATAAAAATATGATAAAATTATTTTGAATTTTGTTTAAATATAAATGCTAGATTATAGAAGGGCATAATCAAAATGTAAATGGATTAAAGAGTAACATAATATTTTTAATATAGATTCATCTCTAAAATTTCAAAAGGTGCGTTTTAAAAAACCTAACTTTACAGATGCTTATATGGTCGTTAAAAGATGTAAAACAATTTGTTATTGCTAAAACTATTATTTGTCAATAGCTAATCCATTGATAATCTAAAATGACTTGTTAAAATTTGGTAAACAAAAATCTGAATATCTCAATTTTAGTTTGTAATTTTGTACCACAAATTGTGTAACTCATTGCAGTAATTAATTATTTTAATCATGATGTATACAATTACAATTTTAAATTTACAACAATAATAATAAATAGTTGATTTTGTTTTGTTTCAATCATTACTCAAAAGAAAATTAGTGTCACTTTTTTCTTTTTTTCATCTTGACTTTATTTGAAAATTAAACAAATAACTCTATGATTTTTAAACGTAATTCAAACCAAATACCTATTAATAAAATTTAAAAAACTTACATTCACAAAATCATGTTTTTTTTTAAAATTAATCATGCTAAACGCTTTTATAAAAAATTTCACAACTGTCTATCCTCTCATTCAAATCCACTCATTAAAAACTTATCATCCCTCACAATCCCAGGTAGCCCTCCAAGGCGACTTAAACGTAAATGGTGCAGAGATTTATTACTTTAAATAATAACATATAAGATATAAGTGATATAACTAAATATATAATTTATAATATAAATACTAATATATAACTAAATCGCATACGACTAAACCAAGTCGAAAGTGTCATAAGTGGGTAGCTTCTTTCCTCAAATTTATGTATATCACCTATCACCCTATTTGTTTGTCTCCCTTATCGCACATATACTTATTATGTCTAAGATTATATATTTTTTTCTAAAAATAAAAAAGAAAAAATTAATCATAATTCCTATAAAAGTTGACGTTGACATACACATTTTTTTTTAAAAATAATTA